TCAAGAACCTGAAATAGTAGAACATTTCTGAAGTGATTTCAAACGTTTCAGTTCAAGGCCGATCTGTGATTGGCTGAATGAAGTCCTACGGTTGTCTCTTAATTTACGTGCGCAATTGCCCCAGTATTTGTATATGAAGATTTTCTCAATTTTTTAAGGTGTGCTATCGAATCAACCCATATTTTCCCATTCAACTGTTTCAAAATAACTTGATATTTGAGACAGTTGGCGTTTTGAAGAGTATGTGATTTCTCGTGAAGTAAATACCTTTTCTCCATTCCCATGCATAATTCAATTTATGGATAAAAGCTGCTATTTTAAACTGTTTTCGATTGTGCATTTTACCATTGTCTTCTAATGTTGGTTGAGGTCGACTTTCTTGGTTTTCCTGTGCAATTGCTTCTTTTGACAGCTGCGCTATGTTTGTATTAAGATTTCATCAACGCGAAATTGTTCATGTGTTGACCATCATTAACTAATTTAACAAAATGGTTTGTGGATGTTTCCTTTGTCAGGTTAAAGCTTAACGATGACCGCCATAGTAAATCACGTAAGTCGTTCCCTCTTATTTTGTTCGAGCGTATTTGAGTTTCAAGTATCACATAATCTAATGTTTTTCAGGTCCCCGGTCAAATAAGTCAAATTCTGGCAATACGAGATAAGTTCATTGAAATCTCAAAGCAGTCTGATGAGAAGCTCACTGCAATGATAGAAGCTGCAAAGGATTTTCGCAGTGGCATGGAACCACTGAAGAAGGAAGTTGATCAGCTTCAGACCCGGGTTAAAAGTATGCGCACTTGTAGGCACTATCTCATTGTTTTCCACAGACCTTCAGTACTGCATCGAGGGTCTGTCTCATGTACAAAACTTCTACAAGACTGGACGCGAGGTTGAACAAACCATAATTCAAGGGTAAATTGGTGTTTCACCTAAAGGGGCGGAATTTTAGACCATCAGTATCCCTCACTAACTACCTGAAAGCGATGGATCGTATAAAGGATTCTCTTGTTTATTTCAACCAGAATAATACCGAACATTTGGAGTATACGCGACTTGTGAGTCGGTCGCTTCTGAAGTTTACTGAGGATTTTACAGAGCACTCTTCTATCCAACGGTCTGAAAGCATTGCAGAAGTACTTTGATGACATACTCAACCAATCCTTTACTCCGATGCCCCCAGATTTGCTTTACGCGCTAGCAGAAAAAGAGGGTAATAGAATTATATTCTAGCTACAATTACCAAACGATGCGCATTGTGCAGATCAACCTTTGTCACCTTCATTCTTTCCTTCACAGATGCAATCTCTTTGGATGGTAATAGAGCTGATGATGCTTCTGCTGTCCCTCTCGAGTGCGACTCCATCTCCGAAGTGTGTATTTCTAACATGCAGGATATCTCCACGTGGCTACGTAGAGCCACTTCATTGGGCACTTCGACTGCACTGGGGTCCACTGGGGAGGAGCAGAAGTCGCGCCACCACTTGGCTCGGATATTCCATGCGGAAGTTGCCGATTCGGCTGCAACAGAAGGCTATCAGCTACCTCCATCTTTGGCACAGTACTGCGATTTCAGAAAGGACTTAATGCGTGTCACTCTGGTTAAGTAAGTGCTTTTTGGTATGCTCTGGATGAGTTGAGCTCAGGCTTTACTTCTTAAATTTTGTACTGGTTAAGAAGACATATCTAGTCCCGCTTGGTGGGTGCGCTTTTATGTCTATCAAATGGAAACTAGCTCAATTAAGGGCATTTACAGAAATGGCTGTTGATTGAGGCCTACTTGGGCGATACTTTTAGCTCACAAAAGATTGCTAAATCCGTCAGAGTGGCGGTGCTATTCCATGCTTGGTGGTTCTCCCCGATTCCCGTTGAATTGATGTGCAGGCGATCCGGTCTTTTTTCTTTACTTCCCTTTCATCCTAATAGTATGATGACGGGTTTTAGTGTTTTTGCAATTCAGCTTGCTGCAGATTTATGTGTATCAAACACATTCTCAGGACGCATGCCACGTAGCGAACTAATTTTTTCTAAGGAATCCAACGAACCAGTATTTCAGCAGTAGTTTACTCGGGCAGGCTTACTTTTCGAAGTGTCACTGTTGCTGTATTGACACTATCTCCACTGTTCATATTTTTACAATGAATTGCCCAGAATACTGAGCTGAAGGTGAAGTACAAAAGCATTTCAATCGCAATGTCAAAGGTGTATGTACCAATTTTTATCTGGTCCGTGGCAGGTTTGGCCTTTGATAGGGGAAAATACGGTACTACTCTTTGTGAAGCTGTTATCGACCTTTGCTAACTTAGATTTTTAGTGCTACATTGGGGGGTCGCATCTAATGTACGACTTATCTGTGCTGCTACTCAAGATCATTTTCTGGTTTATTTAAATTCAGACTTCGTGAGTATCAAAAGACTCTGGAGAAGAATACACAAAATGTAGTAAGTTGAGGAAGGTGTTCATATTTTCACGAGGCGTGTTATTTCATGTGAAGCTCCTCGCCTCATCCTTCCTAGCGTGGTCGTCCTGGCTCAACAAGCAGTCAGTTGAACGTCTCCACTGCCGGTAAACGTCGGTAAGATTGCCCGCTTGCCGTCTGCAAAGCTTTTCTTTTCCTGCCAGCATTCTTGTGTTGTTGCT